AACATATTCACAAAAAAATGGAGAAAAATGTTCATTTTCAAAATGGGATATATATATATATATATATATATATATATATATATATATATATATATATATATATATATTTTTTTTTTTTTTTTTTTTTTTTTTTTTTTTTTTTCCCACAGAAAAACAAGTATTGTTTTTTTTTTGTACAACTTATTTTTTATGTTTAAGTATTTCCCCCCACTTTTAGTTTGGTTGATTTTAGCTCCCATCTCTGTCCCACTGAAGATGAAAGCATCTCATCAAAGTGTGCTACATCAATGGAAACAGTCAGGTTTGGGGTCCAAGATGAGCCATCTAAAGGTGTGAAAAACGGGTCAAGAGTCCCACAGCCCCACACCCCTGCTGTTTTGAAACTCAAACACATCAGTGTAAATGGGGCCTGGGATTTTCACAGATAAAACCAAAGGTGTGATAAAAGTGGTGTGCATCAAACCCATTCCCACACCTCTCCAATTAAGCACAAAAACTTGAGTTTGAATCAAACAATGTCTTTGTAACTTTTCCATTCAAATTGTGAATCCTGAATTACCCAAATTCTTATTTTGTATAGTTTTAATGTCAAGGTATTTGCATTTGGACATAAGATAAGTATTTATTTTCAAGAGCAGTTAAACTAACATTAATAAAGTTTGCAAATGAAAATATTGATTATTGTTTATTCATGTGAGTTAATTAATTCGTTAATTTTAAGCAACTGTTTGGTAAACTGTTGTTGAAACATGTACAAAAGGAATGTAAACCTGATTTTTTGGTCATTTGATAAATGCTTTGGGCATTTTTTTAAGTTGATATATATAATTTTACTTTATTTCTTTGTCCATTGTAATAATAAAAACAGTATACTTTTATCAGTATACTTAATTGTCATTCAAACTGTGAGCTTTCATACATCAGTTTAAATAGGTTATTTATAATTAGCTGGTAGTACTGCAACATCTGAATCTGCGTCAAATCTGAGGAATTTAATTTGAATGTCTGTGAAATTATGATGTGGAGTATTACGTTTTTTTTTTTTTTTTAAGTACAGAAGTATTTATTTAATTTTTTTAAGAAAACAAAATTATGTAAATGTTGGCCCTACAATCCAAAAATGTAATTAAATTATATTTATATATATATATATATATATATATATATATATATATATATATATATATATATGCCTTGTTGGCTATCACAATGCAAGATTTGTTCGTAAACACCATGTTTTATGAAGGTGAAATGGATGGAGAACAAATTCTGGCTCCCTTCTGGTTAATTTTTAGAGAGTAGAGGACATGGAAATTTTCTTGCAGGAAATATGAGAAAAAAGAGCTATTCTTGTGTCTTGTTTACACAACCAGCACTTGTGAATTTACCAGTGGGTTACTATAAAGAAAATTTAGATTTTTGTTTTGTAAACTTTAATAAATATTTTGTGTAAAATAAAGTGTTGTGTTGTGTTGTTGCAATATATTTATTATTTTATATGTTGTTATACTATAAAACTTGTTTAAAGTGTTGTGTTGTTGAAATATATTGACATTTATTATTTTATGATTTCTTATTATGACATTTTATCAAGATTTAAGATTTATTTTAAGTTTAGATGCACATTCTGCTAATTTAAGATGATAAAAACAAATGCATTCATTGCAACTGTTGTAGGAGGAGTATGTGACTTAAAATACATCCCCCAAATGTCATTGAAAATCCATACTAATCTGTTTTTCATGTTGTGTGGAAAGTCACATTGCTGGTTTTAGACTACTGGACTGGTTACTTAGTACCATAAAAAAATATTTAAAAATTATACATACATATACAATTTTTACACTCCCCACAAATCTCTCATTTACATGAATATTTTCTATAAGACGCTTTACATTATTAAATTTGTGCATATACATTAGATTAGTCAGCCCTGAAGCCAAATCTGGAGCTAATCTAACAAAATAACTTATGATAAAGGTTCAAAAATTAGTAGCTCTAATTTATATGATAGGGAAAAATATCAAATATTTTTAAAAAATAACAAAAATCAAGAGAAACAAAAAATATAGACAATTTAGTAGAAATTTTGTAGTTTGTAAATTTGTTTGCAATATTTTGCATGAATTTATATGTATTATCTTTCCATTTCTAAAGATGTTTTGTGACTAAAATATTATTTAAATAAATTCATCTGTTTCATAAATCTGTTTTGTTAAAATGCACTAGCATAAATTAACCATATTCACTAAAAAAAAAATGGAGAAAAATGTTCATTTTCAAAATGGGATGCATATATTCATATATATTCATATATATATATATATATATATATATATATATATATATATATATATATATATATATATATATATATATATATATATATATATATATATTTTTTTTTTTTTTTTTTTTCACAGAAAAACAAGTATTGTTTTTTTTGTACAACTTATTTTTTATGTTCAAGTATTTCCCCCCACTTTTAGTTTGTGTGATTTTAGTCTAGGGTTGGGACAACAATGTGTGTTTAAGAAATGTTTAGTGTTGTTATAAGAGTTAAATAAAAATGCACTAAATTTTCAGGAGTGATGTTTTGTATGATTATTTATGTCAATGTATCTGCATTTAGACATAAGATTTTTTAGAGGCAGTCAAACAAACATTAATAAACTTTGTAGAATAAATATTGACTGTTGTTTATTTATGTGAGTTACAATCATAGACCTGCACATTTTTAAGTAGATATAAAAATATATGACTATTAAAGTACAGTTACATTCATTCTTTGTTGTAATAATAACAGTACCTAAAAATAAAGAATAAAAACTTTTATTATACAGAATCCAGTTTAAAGAGCTTAGTTTTACCAGTTTGTTAGCAAAGCAATATTTATGCAGTGTCACATCCGAGGAACTGAGTGTCTTTGAAAATATTATGTGCAGTTTACAGTTTAAGAATAAAAGCATATTTATTTAAAATTTAGTTAGCAAAAATTGTATCAAACAAATTATTGTTTGGGCCTTAAATGGAAAAGTTTCTTTGGTCAGAGTTTCTTTTGTCAAAGTTTCTTTGATCAGAGTTTCTTTTAGATTAGGCAGGGTCCACAGCCCCACACCCCTGCTGTTTTGAAACTCAAACACATCAGTGTAAATGGGGCCTGGGATTTTCACAGATAAAACCAAAGGTGTGATAAAAGTGGTGTGCATCAAACCCATTCCCACACCTCTCCAATTAAGCACAAAAACTTGAGTTTGAATCAAACAATGTCTTTGTAACTTTTCCATTCAAATTGTGAATCCTGAATTACCCAAATTCTTATTTTGTATAGTTTTAATGTCAAGGTATTTGCATTTGGACATAAGATAAGTATTTATTTTCAAGAGCAGTTAAACTAACATTAATAAAGTTTGCAAATGAAAATATTGATTATTGTTTATTCATGTGAGTTAATTAATTCGTTAATTTTAAGCAACTGTTTGGTAAACTGTTGTTGAAACATGTACAAAAGGAATGTAAACCTGATTTTTTGGTCATTTGATAAATGCTTTGGGCATTTTTTTAAGTTGATATATATAATTTTACTTTATTTCTTTGTCCATTGTAATAATAAAAACAGTATACTTTTATCAGTATACGTAATTGTCATTCAAACTGTGAGCTTTCATACATCAGTTTAAATAGGTTATTTATAATTAGCTGGTAGTACTGCAACATCTGAATCTGCGTCAAATCTGAGGAATTTAATTTGAATGTCTGTGAAATTATGATGTGGAGTATTACGTTTTTTTTTTTTTTTGAGTACAGAAGTAGTTATTTAATTTTTTTAAGAAAACAAAATTATGTAAAATGTTGGCCCTACAATCCAAAAATTAAATATATATATATATATATACACACACACACACATATATATATATATATATATATATATATATATATATATATATATATATATATATATATATATATATATATATATATATATATATATACAGTTTAAGTCAGAATTATTAGCCCTGCTGAATTATTAGCCCCCCTTTTTATGTTTTCCACAAATTTAAAGGATTTGAAAAGGATTCAACACATTACTAATCATAATAGTTTTAATAACTCATTTCTACTTCAATATTCAATAACTGATTTATTTTATTTTTGTCATGATGACAGTAAATAATATTAGACTAGTTATTTTTCATTGGCTTTCAGTAGTAGCTTTCTTGTGGGCGGGAATGACCTTATGGGCTGACCTGTGAATGAGAGGTGTGCTATTGGCATTTAAATTGGACTGTAAATAGACAGTGTTACATTGTGTCACGAGCACTAAACTGGAGCTTAAGCACACACACAGGTAAGATTTTTTTTTATATCAGTGAATGTGGGCAGAATGTACATTGTTTTACATTTTGTTTCATGAGACCTACATGTTAGTAAAATAAGTGTCACATTTCTAGCCTATCTTTATGCTCAAGACTTGAGTGGTTAGTTGTGGATAAACAGTTTGTTGTGCTGATTTTTGATGTGAGTGGCTGTTTGAACAAAGAAAGAAAGTTCATTATGATAGAAATGTTATACAAAGCTTTATCTGTTTGGAGAAAAAAAGTCTTTATGGTTGGAAAAAAAACATTGTGCAGGTTTAAGTTTTAAAACATTTTTGTTTTAGATCAGTATTATTGATTTCCTTTTTTTTTCCTTTGTTGGCTATAAGACAAACATTTTTTCAGCCTATAGTTAAGCTGTAAATAGTGCTTTAAGTAGAAAATTAGTATTTTGCAAAATAACTAGACAAATATTATGTATACTGTCATCATGTTAAAGACAAAATAAATCAGTTATTATGAAAGAGTTATTACAAATGTTAATTTTTAAAATGTAAAAAAAGTTAAAGTGGCAGTTCACCAAAAAATGTAAATGGTCTTACTATTTACTTTTACATTAAAAGTAAATAGTATAAGATTTTTTTTTTCAGTTGAACACTGAATAATTATAAAGAAAGTTGTAAAAGGTAAAAAGACTAAATCTGTTGCATTATATTAAATTATATTTAATATGACATTATTTTTGTTTGTGTTGACGTTTGTTAATTGTCTATAATTTTGCTGTAATTTTTTTTTATTATTTTATGGAAAAGGTTTGTTTTTGAGTAATGTAGCTACTGATATACAGATTGTTGTAGGTAGCTTATAATGTATGTATTGTGGGATTGGTCAGATGGACTGACAATGTGTGAATAGTGTATTTTTTGGAATTTAAATATGCTGGTTAAAAGGCTTGATCATTGGATTTTATATAAATCAATTATAGATTGAGATAAAATTTAAATGCAAAGTACCAATGTAGTTTCAGAAAATGCACTGGTAGTAAGATCCTTTTGTGCTTTTTTTACATTTAAGAATTTTTGTGGTTTTGATTATTTGAAAGGCTGTGAGGGGTCAGTGTAAACTGTTGAATGAAAGACTTTGTGATGTGATGTGATTTTTCCTGTTTGATATTGTGCATTGAATGTGACTGCTTGAATGAAGAATAATGCTTGTCAGTCAATGAGCAATTGTTGTTTTTATTTTAAACTCTCATTATTGAACTTTTAAAGTTTTTGAATATACAGGTTTGCTAAATTAAAACAGTTAAGTTGGTAATTAAAGGTTGCATATTGTTCTTTTTCTATTGTTTTTATTGTCATTTGTTAATTGAATTAAATATATTTGTTGGAGTGACTTAATGTGTTTGTCTGATAACAATTATTTCATAGTTATTTAAACAGTAAATAATATGAATAAAATGCAAAATAATAAAACAGGGGGCATTGTAATTTCAATGGGAATGAAGAATATGAAACTGTTGTTCAAGTTTTCTGTTGTATGCATGCTTGTTTGCACACTACGATTAAAGTGAACATTGTTATTTTGTGTTTCTTTTTCAAGGATCATTTAACGAACAAGGCAATTACTTTAAGACTCTCTGAGAATTTCAGAGCAAAACAAAAGAATTTTGTGGGAATCAAAGTAAGTTTGTAATTGTTATTTAATACCTCGTCACCTTAGAATTATAAGGTTCTAGCTGACATTTTTGTCAAAATTGAGTTATTGACATTTTCTTATTAAATGACAACTTATTTACATTATGGAATGTTTTTGATAAGTTTTTACTTTTTAAGACTTTTTATTTAAAAAACAAATGTTACATACATACTGTTTGCTATGGAACGCAAAAATTTTAAAGCTCAATATTTTAAAATTATTGATAGAACCTTACAATTCCAAGGTGACGATCTACTATGCTAGTTATTCTAGTTGTTTTCAGTTAAAATTTATTTTATTGTTTGTTTTCTCTCTGTTATATTACAGATTTTGTATATGTTCATGTCTGTCTAAAACATTTATTAGAATTTTAAACAGTAAATAAATTTAATAAAAGAAAAGTAATAAAATTGCAAATTATAAAAGTAACAAGTAATATTTTAGGGCAACTACCTGAAAATCATGAGCTTTGCTGTAATTGTGTTTTCATGTTTTTGTATACACTATGACACTAATGAACTATATATATATGTTTTTTTCTATTTACAGTTCTTCACATAATTAAACAATCGAGGCACCTACATATTGCAAGGCCCTCTGAGAATTTCAGCAAAGAATTTTGGTGGGAAGCAAAGTAAGTTGTTATTTGTTGATAACATTGAAAATTAAATGCAGTAACACTTTATTATAATTGAAAACTATGAATCATTTGTTAAGCATTAGCAAATTGTTAACTCATTATTTGTTAAGCATTAACTTAACATTATTAGATATTTGTAAGCAGTACTACAAATATTCTTGACTTATATATATGTATAACATGTATATTGTGCTTAATGACTATTTTCATAGGTTGGTTATTTAAGTTTTCATTAAACACACAAATTAAGTATTTCATTATTTACAAACTAGTTATTTAAGAATAGTTGGTGGTTTTTAAAGATAATTGAAAACTATTCAAATTAAAATGTATATTTTTATTATGCAGGGATATAGTATTAGTTACAACAACAATATAATATTCATTCATTTTCTTTTCGGGTTAGTCCCTTTATTAATCTGGGGTCGCAACAGGGTAATGAAACGACAACTTAATCAGCAAATGTTTTACACAGCAAATGCTCTTACAGCTGCAACCCATTACTGGGAAAAACAATATAATAATTTAACAATATATTATGATACAACATTTCAGTTTTATTTGGCAATGTTTAAACTGTAAACTGATTTTATTTTAGATTGCAAAGATTTATTATTCATTTGATACAGTTTCATTTGTGTATTTTGAAATGAATAGAAACAAATAAAGTTGTTTATTTTATTTTTTCCTGTTTAGAATATAACTGAACCTTTAATTGTCATTTATAATAAATTTATAAAGCATACATAGTCCTCACTTTAGATTAGATCACAAAACTGGATGAAGTTGATCTAAAAAAGCATTTATTAACATGCAAAGTAACTTTTAATATATGGCTGAATAATAAGATATAATAATGTTTATTTGAATATTTTATTAATTATATACGTAAGCATTTTCAATGATCTTGAAAACACCAAGTACGCTTTAATAACTACTGTTGTTTTTTTCCTTTCAGGATGCCGAGAAAAAAGGGTTTTCGCATGCGGCGCACACCAAAAAGCATCAAAAGTAAGAGCGATGCTAAAGTTTGTGTATGTACAGAAACACTGCAGCGGCCTGTTGTTGTTGGTAGTGATGTAAGAGATGCACCGTTGAGTTGTGATGTGAATTCATTGACTGGATATTGTGCTGTGGCTGCAATCAAACATGTGATTGCTCCTGTTTGTACTTGGGTACAAACAGATGTTGATGACATTTGTGTGGAAGGAAGTAAGTTAGCCACATATGTAGCTGAGACAAGTCAGAAAACAGACTGTAGAGAGAAAGAGTTGTGCACTTTGATAGAACAGCACAATGTGTTTGGCAGAAAGTGGAAATTAGAAATTGGTTTGCCAGAGTACAGAGGTTTTGAAATGTTAGAAGAGGAGGCTGTAATGTACGAAAAGCTGCAAGAATATTTGTTGAGGGATGGAATGTGTTTCCTAAACCTTAATAGTGCAATAAGCGTCATTATTCATCACAACAATTATTTTGTGATGGCTGATTTTGGCATCCGAGATATGTTTGGATTGGCATCTAATATTGGCACGCCTGTGGTTGTTTTCAACACATGCCTTAATGATCTGATGGTTCATATCAGAAATCTTAGAAGCTCTTTAGATGCACAGTGGTATGCTGTTAGTAGCATTTCTGTAAAAGCAGCCCAAGATGATCATGATCAACAGACAAGCAGTTCTGTCAGATGCGAAGGTGTCAGTGCTGGATGTAAAGATGCAACTGGGTGTGAGGATGCCACTTCTGTCAGCACTGAAAACAGTTTAAGAGGATCATTTCACCAGGGCAATGAGCAATTTAAATACAGAGGAGTCCAGTGTATGGCAATAGCTTTAGTAAGCCTAGCAAAGCATACAGTGGATAGTGTCTTCTCATGGCAGAGCAAAGACCTTGACAAAGTTGTAGTGTTAGGAGATGAGTTGTACACCGGATTGCGAGAGACCAATAGGATTAGCCACTCATCAAATCTGTTGTGTGTCCCTGATTTGCCAAAGGAGTCTAATATTGATGGAGAAAGTTTTTTGTTTGAATATGGTAATTTTGTCAGTGGTGATGTAGATGTTGTTGATGGTGAATTTATTGAGAGTGGTGCTTACAGCAGTCTTTCAAGTGGATTGGAAAACATGTTTTCACAGTATGACAGGTGTCTTCTGACATTGTGTAGCAGTACATGTGCAATCATTTCTCACAATGGACAGTATGCACTGGTTGATTCTCATGCACGAAGTGCTCTTGGTATGGTTGATGGAAATGGAAAAAGTGTTGTTTTATACTTTTCCACTCTTAAAGATTTGTTCAGTCACATTTGCCTTTTATCTAAAGGGCTCAGTGAGAAGCAAAAACTTTTTGAAATAGCTGGTGTTCATGTCACCGTTCGAAGAATGGCAGACAGTTGTAAAGGCTCTGACGAAACATTTGAAATGGAGTTTGATGAGGATTCTGGAAGAGATCTAGTAGTGAACAATGATGCAAGACCCAAGCGCAACATTTCAGCAAGCAATAGTTCTTCAAAGAAAGTAAAACGATTTGATGTTCGTGAAGTTAATTCAGATGTTGAATTTGTTCGTGATATAAAAAAGAACAATATGATGTTCAGTCCTATTTGTCAACATGTTTGTCAAACTTTGTGTAGCCGTTTAAAGGTGGATTGTGAAAAAGTAAATGTTCCAGTATTTTCCCATGTTGGCTTATTAGGAGTTCCATGCAAAAATGAGAGTATTGTGGCTGATGGGAACTGTTTCTTTAGAGCTATTTCCCAAGCAGTTATTGGTACACAAAAGTATCACAGAAAAATTCGGCTTGCTGTTGTGATGCATTTGGAAAAGAATTGTGAAAAATATAGAAATATTTTACGAAGAGAATATTCATCTGTGTCAGAGTATATTAACAGGTCCAAAATGAGATTTGTTAATAGCTGGGCTACGGAGGTTGAAATACAAGCAACAGCAGATTATTTAGGAATTGATGTATTTACATTTTATGATGGTCACTGGTTGAAATACAGTTGCAGTGGTAAGCTTATTTCAAAACATAGCATTTACTTAGAAAACTGTAACGAAAACCACTACGAGACTGTAGTTTGTGTTAATGAGCCTGAAGTACAAAGTTGCTATGGTTACTGCAAGATCAGTACGTGTTTCACTGAAGGATACAGTGTTAGAGCAAAGATTATGGACAAAAATAATGTTCTCACTCTAAAAAACAAGAAAGAGCTTATTGATAGGGAAACACTGTTCATGACCGGACAACAATCGCATCGCATGTTAAAAGCAATGCACAATAACACTTGTTGTGAACTGGGAATGGTGGAAGATTCTAATGCTAAAGTTGTGGAAAATTCAGGTCAGATGACATATAATCCTCTGTCTACAGAAGCTGCACAAACTTTATGTGACAAATTACATTTGAATTTTGAAAAAGAAAATATACAAGTACCAACTGTTTATGGGTCTTTGGGTGTTGTTTGTAAGACAGGTAAAGTTGTAAAGGATGGTAATAGTTTTTTCAGAGCAGTAGCCAGATTTATTAATGGTTCTGAAAAGAGCCATCGGAAAATTAGACTTGCTGTTGTGAAGTATATGGAAAATCAAAGTAAAGAACACAGTCACTTAGTAGGAAATGAATTTGCATCAATGTCAGAATATATTTCAAAGTCACAGATGCAATATGTTGGACAGTGTGCTTCAGACATAGAATTCCAATGTACAGCAAATGCTTTGGATGTCAATCTTTTTCTATTTAATGGAGCACAATGGGTCAAATATAGTTGCATTAATACAATGAAGAGAAGTGAAGGTATTTATTTAAAACAGTGTGAGAATAATATTTTTGAGCCTGTAATTTGTGTCCACCATGTTGATAAGAATGATTGTTTTGATTTGTGTAAAGTGGGAAATTTGTCTGACACACAATATATGAGTAGGAAGAATTCAAACAGACAGAGAATAGTGACGTTAAATATGCATACTTCAAGCAAAATGGTCATGGGAAAAAGTAGGTATCTCGATGTCTTGTATAAAGAAAAGAAAAACAATGCTTGTAAAATAAGATATCAAAAAAATGTGTTGTATAAGAAGAAAAAACGTAATGCTAGTATAACGAAGTATTGTGTGAATGCTTTACATAAAGAAAAAGTAAAAAACATGAGCAAAAGGAAATATGATCAGAATGCTTTGCATAAAGAAAGAGTAAAAAACATGAGCAAAAGGAAATATGAACAGAATGCTTTGCATAAAGAAAGAGTAAAAAACATGAGCAAAAGGAAATATGAACAGAATGCTTTGCATAAAGAAAGAGTAAAAAACATGAGCAAAAGGAAATATGAACAGAATGCTTTGCATAAAGAAAGAGTAAAAAACATGAGCAAAATGAAATATGAACAGAATTCTTTGCATAAAGAAAGAGTAAAAAACATGAGCAAAATGAAATATGAACAGAATGCTTTGCATAAAGAGAAGGTAAAGTGCATGAGCAGACTAAAGTATCAGCAAAATATGCTACACAAGAAAACAGTAAAGGAAATGAGTAAAAGAAAATATAAGTTAAATCAGTTGCACAGGCAAAATGTAATTGCTATTAATAAAAAAAAGTACCATGAAAATGCAGAGCATAAGAAGCGTGTTAAAGCAGGTATGAAGCATAAAAGGGAACAAATCAAAGAAAAAGCAAAACAGTTTGATTTTGTTATGCAGCGTTTTTTGGATTTGATAAAAGATGGGCCAGATTTTGTGTGTTGTGTTTGCCAACGATTGTTGTTTCGACATCAGGTTTTACATTGTAACAGAGATTATTATAACAGGAAAGCAATAGGTTCGATTTATGATAAATGTATAACTGAGGAATATTTACACAAATGTAATAGTACCTGTGTAATGCCATGTCAGTGGTTGGATTCACCTAGAGGCAAGCTGTGGATTTGTTACACATGTCATTATAAGATTAACAAAGGTGAGATTCCACCTGAATGTGCAACAAACAAGTTGAAAGTTCATCCTGTTCCAGAAGAATTGTCATGTTTGAATAGTTTAGAACAACATTTGATTGCATTACATATACCGTTTATGAAAATGCTAGCATTACCAAAAGGAGGGCAAAATGGTGTCCATGGTCCAGTAACCTGTGTTCCTGCAAATATTGTGCAAACTTCAAATTTGCTGCCCCTTTCAAGTATGGAAGGATCTTTGTTGCCAGTAAAATTAAAACGCAAGTTAACTTATAAAGGTCATTATAAATATCAGTATGTTGACACTATGCACATAAGACAAGCATTAAAATGTTTAAAACAGATAAATGTGCATTATAAAGATGTAGAATTTAATGAAGTTTGGTTAAATGAGTTTTGTAGGGAACAGGACGATGATGTTATAGTCCAGGAGAGTGATACACATGCTGAAAGTAATGAAGCATCTCTTGATAATGGAGAAGATGAGCTCTTGCATGACAGACAACAACATTGCATGTTTCAGGACACATGTCTCATGCCTGTTGATATTGGTCAAGAAGCACTAGATCAGTATTTTGATGATATAGTGAATCTGGCGCCAGCAGAAGGGAATAATCCTGTTAAATTACTTTCTGATTTTGCAAATGAAGCCAAATGCTTCCCAGTATTATTTCCACTTGGATGTAACACATACCGTGAAAGTCGAGACAAACGTTTGACGTTGTCCAGGTACTTTAACAACCGAATTTTGCATGCTGATGGTCGGTTTGCACAAAATGTTGAATATATATTTTTTGCCCAGTACATGTCTGAGGTTGAACAGGTAGTGTCAAATGTATCAATTGCATTGCGTAAGGGAATTAGCGGTTGTACATCTAAAAAAGTTAATGAAGATTTATTAAACAATGAGGAATCTTTAAAGAAACTCTTAGAATTTGATGATGGGTTTCGTTTCCTGAAACCTATTCGAGGTACCCCAGCTTTTTGGCAGACAGCACAACGTGACCTCTTGGCTTGTGTTCGTCAGCTTGGTATCCCTACTTGGTTTTGTTCATTTTCTTCTGCTGATATGCGGTGGAACAATCTTCTGTATAGTATTTTGAAGCAGGAAGGTAGAACACAGACCCTTGAAGAATTACAATGGGCAGACAGATGTGAGCTGTTGCGCCGCAATCCTGTCACTGCAGCAAGAATGTTTGATTTTCGGTGGCATTGTTTTTTAAGGGAAGTACTTATGTCTGCATCCCATCCAATAGGTAAAATTAAGGATTATTTTTACAGAGTTGAATTTCAGCAGCGTGGTTCACCTCATGTCCATTGCCTATTTTGGATTGAGAATGCCCCAGTGATAGATAAAAATACAGACGAAGAGGTAATTCAATTTATAGATAAATATGTAACTTGTGAATTACCGTCACAGGATGATTCATTATTAGAGACTGTGAAAACTGTGCAACATCATTCAAAACGACATTCCAAAACGTGCAAAAAGAAAAATACTGTTTGTCGTTTTAATTTTCCTAGGCCAGCATCTTCACGAACATTTATATGTCGAGGTAAAACTAATACAAAGAAAAAGTGTAAGTGTAAGGTAGATAAGAAGGTAGATAATTTAACAAAAGAATGTGCATGTGCAAATGAAGGTAGAGTAGAGTTTAAAATGAAGCGAGAACAGGCAGGTGACATTTTATTAGCCATCAAGAAGGCTCTTTCAGATGAGAATTGCAACTTTAACAATGTGGAACATTTATTTAAACATCTGGGTATAAATCAAGCAACTTTTGAGCGTGCATACAAAACTTATAGTCGTAATACACAAGTTGTGTTGAAAAGACAGGTTAATGAAGTGTGGGTCAATCAATATAGCAAGCCGCTGTTAAAATGCTGGAATGCGAATTTAGACATACAGTATGTTGTAGATGCATATGCTTGTGTGGTTTATATAATTTCTTATATATCAAAGTCAGAAAGAGAAATAGGATTGTTGTTGAGTAACGCTCAAAGGGAAGCACGTAAAGATGGAAATGTTAGTGCAAAAGAGGCACTGAAAAATTTAGGCAGTGCTTATTTACATAACAGAGATGTGTGTGCTCAAGAATCAGTATATAGGTTAACAAACATGCATCTGAAGGAGTGTTCCAGGAAAGTTGTGTTTGTGCCAACAGGCGATAATATAATTAAGATGAGCCTTCCTTTAAATGTGTTAAGGAATAAAGCTAAATCAAATAGCCTAACAACAAAAGACATGTGGATGACAAGCATATTAGATCGCTATAAGAATAGACCAGATGATTTAAATGATATATGTATGGCAACATTTGCATCAGAATATCGCATTTTAAGTAAAAATGAAAAATCCCAAAGTCCACTTAAATTGAAGAATGGTTGTGGTTTTATCACAAAAAGAACACGAACACAACCTGCGGTGGTTCGTTATGTGCGTTTTTCTGAGGAAAAAAATCCAGAAGCATTTTTTCAAAGTATTCTGCAGTTGTTTTTGCCATACCGTGTAGATTTGCAGCTAAAGCCACCAAACTGTAATACATTTGAAGAGTTTTACAGAAATGGTCATGTGACATTTAATGATGGCTCAAGTCATTCAGTCAAGTCAGTTGTAGATTTAAACAGAAAGAACTTTGAAATGGAGGCAGATGAACTGGAAGATGTAGAAGATGTAATTAATAGTACTGGTGTAATAGAAGATGGCTGGTGTGAGTTGTGCCCAGAGCAAGAGTTAGAGCGTTTACTTTGTATTGATGAAATGAAAGACAAATTACAGCAAGTGGAAGAACATGAGGAACATATTCCAGATTTAGCATCAGAAGCTAATCAGAAGGTTGCACATTTAGAAAAGAAAAATAACATAATGTGTAGAAGAGATGGCTTGGCCCTCATAAGATCTTTAAACGATACACAGTTATCTATTTTTTATGAAATAAGACAATGGTGTTTAGATAAGGTAATGGGCAAAAATCCAAGCCCAGTGCATTTATTTATTACTGGTGGTGCAGGGACAGGAAAAAGCCACTTAATTAAAGCTATTCAGTATGAAGCAATGAGGATACTGTCTACAGTGTGTCGTCATCCTGATAATATTAGTGTTTTGTTAACTGCTCCAACTGGAATTGCAGCATATAATTTGCATGCAGCAACCATTCACAACACATTTAGCATTGGGAAAGATGTTCGATTACCATACACCCCTTTAGGTGAAGAGAAGCTTAATTGTCTGCGTGCTAAATATTGTGATCTACAGATTTTAATAATTGATGAAATATCAATGGTTGATCACAATTTATTAGCTTATATTCATGGCAGACTTAGGCAGATTAAACAAACTGGCGACTTCTCCCCATTTGGGAACACAAGCATCATTGCTGTTGGAGATTTTTTTCAGTTACCGCCAGTGAGAGGGAAACCCCTGTATGTTGATGACATGCTAGGTATTAACCTGTGGTCTTCTCTTTTTTCAATTGTAGAATTGAAAACTATAGTTAGACAAAAAGATGAAAAATTTGCAAAGTTATTAAATAGAATACGAATTAGAACAAAAATGACTCCAATGTTAAAGACTGACATTGATATTTTGAAAAAATGTGAAACAGGCGAAGTCAGCACAGCTCTGCATATTTATCCTACAAACAAACAAGTAAATGAGCATAATCTTCAGCAGCTATTTAAATCTTGTCCTGAACATTTTGAGATAGATGCTCAAGATTTTGTACATAATAACAAGACAGGTAAACTTGAGCTGAAAAATGGCCATCATGCCAAATCGTTTAATACATGCTTAGAAGAAACACTGTTTTTAGGAGATGGTGCTCGTGTTATGCTAAGTAAAAATGTAGATGTAATGGACGGCCTGGTTAATGGGGTGTGTGGCACAGTAACACATGTAGTTTTTCCGAGCAATGACAACAAGTTCCCTCAAACAGTTTATGTAAAGTTTGATGACATTCAGGTTGGCGCACAAAGGAGAAAATGCCCCGGATATGCTTCTGCAGTTGAAATAGGTTCTGTAGGTATCAAACCAGAAGAGGAAAGAGTAAACAATAAAGGTGCATTACGACGACAATTTCCTCTAAAACTTGCTTGGGCTTGTACAGTACATAAAGTACAAGGAATTAGTGTTGATAATGCAGTAGTCTGTCTTAAAAAGATATTTGCACCTGGACAGGCATATGTTGCTTTAAGCCGTGTTAGATCTTTGTCAGGTTTGATCATTGAAGATTTTGAAGAAAAGGCTATATACTGTAAAGATAGCATTAAGGATGCAATTCAAAGCATGTCTAAATTCTTTATTAGAAATATATCATACCCTAAAGTGAATACCCAAGCATTCAGCATATTTCTAATGAATGTACAAAATTTAAAACAACATTTAGCAGATTTGATTTTTCGTACTCAGCATTTGCAGCCTGATTGCATTGCTGTAACTGAAACATGGTTACCTGCAGATACCTTATCAGAAGCTGTACACATTGATGAGTACAGTTTTCATAGTCAACCGCGAAGTTTGTCTTATCATACCACTAACCCAATATTAACAGGATTACAAACTCAACAACATGGTGGTGTTGGTATTTATGCATCAAACAAGTTGTTGTTTAATATCATCCAGATACCAAATGTGAATTTGGAATGTGTAGTCTGTAACTGTATTAAATACAACATATTAACAGCAGTTATTTATCGGCCACCAACATATCCCATGTCTCTGTTTAAAGAAAATCTTGGCAAATTACTGGACTTTCTGGAACTCATAAACAGTACAATTGTTGTCTTGGGAGATTTCAATGACAACATATTTAAATCTTCAACTATTTGCAAATTTATGACAGAAAGAGGGTTTGTTCAACATGTCACACAAACCACAACAGAAAAAGACACATTAATTGATCATGTATATGTAAAAACAGCACATTACAATGTTGAAGCAATTGTGCTTCCGACACATTTTAGTGATCATGAGGGTATTTTATGTTCGTTTACACCTAATACTTTTAATGTTGATGAGGGAGAATTTGATCACTTGTTGGATTAGCTGTTCTGCTTTATTAAGCAGATAAGGCAGAAAGTGCATACAGAGTTGACTCTGCCGAGCTAAATATTGCAGGTATTGCAGTGCTTTCTTCACTGCAAGGTAGAAATGTGACAAGTTAAACTCATTTATTAGACATAGAAAGTAAACAGAAATTTACATGTTAGAAGTACAACTTTAGCTTTTACAGTAATGGTTTTTTTTTCCTGCATTGCAACAACATGTTAAAATTTTAATGTTTAATCATTGTCTCACTTGTCTCAATTAGTACTTATTCTAAATTGCACTACTAGTATTATTACTTCAAAAAATATATATATGATTTATTCAGTATGAAATACAGCCTAGCACTCAAACATATTTGAGACTAAAAGTCCAGTGTATGATTTACATAAGGCACCTTGACTTTTAAATTCTCAGAATAAAAATATGGAACATAACCAACATTTGAATATAAAATTACACACACAATATTTTGCCCTTAAAAGTAAAAAAAAAAAAAAAAAAAAAAAAAAATAGAGCACTAGTTTGTCAGACATTTGACACAAAATATTATGAAATAGATTTAGTTGTAGATATTTTGCACCTAAAAATGAAAGATAATTACTTGATAGCACTAACTTGACAGACATAGGAAATACTTTTTCTAAGATTTAAATGAATCTTTACATAAAATAATCAACAATTGACTATAATATTATACAAAATAATAATTATTATATTAATTATATATATATATATATATATATATATATATATATATATATATATATATATATATATATATATATATATATTAGTTATTGTTATTTAGCACCAAAACGTCTAAAATAAATTACTTTTGAATATACAAATAAATATTCTATATTTTAATATAGCATTATATCTATACATTTTTATGAACATTATTTTGCAGCAAAAACAAGAAATGTGTTATTTCTTACAGAATTTTAGCTGAAATAGAAAATTGCAAATACAATTCAGCATTAATCTAATCATTAATTTGCTTTGAAATTCATCCTTTTAGGTCACAGTTTTCCTCTAAAAATTGTTAATGTATCAAATGCAATGTTGTTGCTAATGCAGGTTTTGCTTTACCATATATGTAGTTTCAAAAAGCAAAAGACACTGGTAATGGTACTCCTGGTTTACTGGGATGGGGTTCAATTCCCTACAGTGTCCTTGCTTGTCATAAAAACTACATGCATTCTATTATTATTATTATTAGAATTCCAAAAACTAAAATTAACTAAATAAATCTAAATAAAACCCTGCCCGGGAGATCTGGCAGAACAAAAGTATTCTATATAATACTAAAAGATACAGCCCTGCTATTGTCATCTGCCAGCCACAAAACAGACACAAAGTTTTTTTTTTGTTTTGTTTTTATGTTTGAAACTGACTTGCTGGGGCAGAATGTGGCTGTGTTGATGGTTTGGTGCTTGTGGAGGATTTAGCAGAACATAGCTGTGCTGATTGAGGGGATTGATGCTTGTGGGGGGTTCACAGACAGTATCAGGAGAGGATGCTTTTAGTGCATGTGATAATACATTACATAGAAGGTTGCACGGTGGCACAGTGAGTAGCACTGTCGCCTCACAGCAAGAAGGTTGCTGGTTCGAGCCCTGACTGGGTTCTCCCCATGTTGGCGTGGGTTTCCTCCGGGTGCTCTGGTTTCCCCCACAGTCCAAACACATGCAATACAGGTGAATTGGGTAAGCTAAATTGTCCCTATTGTATGTGTGTGAAAGAGAGTGTATGGATGTTTCCCAGTGCTGGGTAGCAGCTGGAAGGGCAGCCACTGCGTAAAACATATGCTGGATAAATTGGTGGTTCATTCCACTGTGGCAACCCCAGATTGATAAAGGGACGTAGCCGAAAAGAAATGAATGATTATGCATAGAAGATGTTGACAGATGTTTAATATCTCTGCTGATTTCACTTTTGCACACATTATACAGTATCAGTTTGTTTTATCTGCAGCTCCACTGACTGTAAAATTCTTCCACAAAGAACATCAAGTTTTGTTGTTTTTTTTTGACTGGTGTTGGACCAAGAAATGGCTCAGAAGCAGTCTCACTCTTTTTCTATTCGGGTGCCCAAATGTATTTGAGGAGTTTCAAGTTAATAAAAAGTGACGGGAAGCTATGCTAAGGTTAACTAGCCTATAGCATATATCTTGCTGTCTGCAAAAGACAGTAATGTAGACGTACCATATAACTCCCATAAGGGCATACTATTCGACACAATAGCATCGTTTTAACCTTTATAAAAGAATGTTATTGTTACTCTGTCAACAGTCTATTGTCTAAATTACCGCACTAACAGAGCTAATGTTGCGTAAACAGAGCACCCGATTGCAAACTTCAAAAATGCAGCGTAATGGAAAATCCCGAACAAACTCCGCTACAAGTTTATAAACTGCATCTGGAACCCAATTAAGGTACAAAAATCTATTTAACAAAAATAGTAATGCAGTGAAGTATTTTTTTCGCTCAGCCGAGCCTTCTCTGTCTGTATCTGTGGAGAAGCTTGTGCCAGACCTCCGCCCCGCCCTCCGACTTCTGACTGAGCGTCTCTCTCTCTCTCTCTCTCTCTCTCTCTCTCTCTCTCACTCACTCACTCACTCACTCACTCACTCACTCACTCACTCACTCACTCACTCACTCACGCGGGCATGCACTGTGGTCTCATGAGGAAACGCTGCTTTTTGATATAATGTTTTTCTTGCTCCCGAATACAAATAATTTTTCAAGTATTTGTTCGAAATAAGTATTCATAAAAACACGCTATTCGTGCCTTTCCGAATACCGTATTCGGGTTCGGCTCCACCCTTAATATATATATATATATATATATATATATATATATATATATATATATATATATATATATATATATATATATATATAAATAAACCATGAGTAAATCACAGATTTATGACAAACTTCCTTCTGTCAGCAGGTGGGGCTATGACAGACTCAATATTGGCATGTATATGTGTTCAGGAGAGGATTTTTATCAACCATGTGAAGTTTTGGGCAGATTGGACATTGTGTGGCTGAGTTATAAGCAAAAATTTCTTCTATCAGCAGGTGGCGCTATGGCTGACACAATATTGGCATGTAGATGTCTTCAGGAGTGGACTCTTATCTAACCTGTAAATTTTCAGGCAGATTAGACATTGTTTGGATGAGTTATAAGTGACTTCCTGTTGCCAGCAGGTGGTGCTACGACTGCGAGTCAATATTGGCATGTAGATGTGTTCAAGAGAGGACTTTAATCAACCATGTGAAGTTTCAGGCAGGTCACATTGTGTGGCTGAGTTATAAGCCAAACTGCCTTCTGGCAGCAGGTGGCGCTATGACTGTGATTCAATGTTGGCATGTAGATGTCTTCAGGAGAGGTTTTTAATCAACCATGTGAAGTTTAAAGCTGTTCAGACATTGTGTGGCTGAGTTATAAGCCAAACAACCTTCTGCCAGCAGGTGGCGCAATGACATACTTAATATAATTATGTAGATGTGATCAGGAGAGGACTTTTATCAACCATGTAAAGTTTCAGGCTGATCGGACATTGTATGGTTGAGTTTTAAGCCAAACTACCTTTTTCCAGCAGGTGGCGCTATAACAGACCCAATATTTTTATGTAGATGTGTTCAGGAGAGGACTTTTATCCAAAATGTTAAGTTTCAGGCTGATCGGAAATTGTGTGGTTGAGTTATTATCCCAAATTCCTTCTGTCACTAGGTGGCGCTATGACTGACTCAATGTTGGCATGTATATGTGTTCAGGAGAGGACTTTTATCAACCATGTGAAGTTTCAGGCAGATCAGACATTGTGGGGCTGAATTGTAAGCCAAACTACTATCTGCCAGCAGGTGGCGCTATGACTGAATCAATATTATTATGTGGATGTGTTCAAGAGTGGACTTTTATCAACCATGTGAAGTTTCAGGCAGATCGGACATTGTGTGGTTGAGTTTTAAGGACTTCCTGTTCCATGGCGAAGCATTGAGGTTTGTAATGCTGCCACGGACACGCCCTTCTGCAAAAACTGTAGATAATCACAATATATAATCGCCAGAGCTGTCAGATAACACCACCCAAATTTGGTGATGATACGAAAAAATGTGTGAGAAGAGTTTTTTTACAGTGTAAAACATGTCATTTCCTGTGGCCAGCAGGTGGCACTATAACTGTAACTGGATATTAACATGTAAAGGAGTTCAGGTCAGGACTCTTATCAAACGTGTGAATTTTGAGGCAGATCTGATAATGCATGCCTGAGTTATAATGACTTCCTGTTTTGTGGCGAATCGTCAAAGTTTGTGGGGCCGCCATGGACACGCCCATCAACAAAAACTATAAAGCTTCGCAATTTAACATCGCCAAGGCCTTTAGATGACAAAACCCAATTTTGGTGTCGATAGCATAAAATCCCTAGGAGGAGTTTGTTACAATACAACGCCTGGAAATGGCAAAAAAGCCACTTTTTTTGCAGCAGGAAGTTAAAAATATCCGACTTCCTGTTGGTTTTGAGATATGGCTCCAAGAGACTTTTTCGTATGTTTTGGCGTGTTTGAGGTGTGTGCCAATTTTCATGCATGTGCGTGATTCGTAGATCAGGGGCTCGTCCGTTTAATTTTTATAGGTGGCGCTGTCGAGTCATTTTGCCACGCCCACTTCAATATTGTTATGTGGATGTATTCAGGGGAGGACTTTTATCAACCATATGAAGTTTCAGGCTGATCGAACTTTGTGTGGTTGAGTTATGAGGACTTCCTGTTCCATGGCGAAGCGTTGAGGTTTGTCATGCCGCCACGGACACGCCCCTCCGCGAAAACTCTAGATCTTCACAATATATCATCGCTAGAGCTTTCAGATAACAAAACTCAAATTTGGTGCTGATACCATAAAATTTGTGGGAGGAGTTTGTTACTCTGTAAATCATGTCATTTCCTGAGGCCAGCAGGTGGCGCTATAACTATATCTGGATATCGGCATGTAAACCTGTTCAGGTCAGGACTCTTATCAAACGTGTGAAATTTGAAGCAGATCAGATAATGCATGCCTGAGTTATAACGACTTCCTGTTTTGTGGCGAATCGTCAAAGTTTGCGAGGCCGCCACGGACACGCCCATCGATGAAAACTCCAAAGCTTCGCAATTTAACATTGCCAAGGCCTTTAGATGACAAAACCCAATTTTGGTGTCGATCGGATAAAATCCCTAGGAGGAGTTCGTTAAAATACAACGCCTGGAAATGGCAAAATCGCCACTTTTTTGCCGCAGGAAGTTAAAAATATCCGACTTCCTGTTGGGTTTGAGATATGGCTCCAAGAGACTTTTTCGTATGTTTTGGCATGTTTGAGGTGCGTGCCAATTTTCGAGTATGTGCGTGATTCGTGGATCGGGGGCTCATCCATTTAATTTTTCTAGGTGGCGCTGTCGAGTCATTTTGCCACGCCCACTTCAATATTGTTATGTGGATGTGTTCAGGGACGGACTTTTATC